CATACCAAGCTCACAAGAAAAGGTAAATCTTTATTTTAATTATATTTTTTAACTAATAATTACTAATAATCAAAAAAGGTTCCTGTCTCTCTTTGCTGATTTTAGTGTATGTAAGTTTTTACTTCGTTTTATACTCATACATTAATCCACTAATTAGAAGCAGAGTACGATATATATTTATTATAATTTGTCAAATTAGGTAAAGTATTGGCATTAGGAGATTGTTTGGTTACTATATCGCATAGTGTTTTTCCCCGATATACGTTACATAAGATTAATTTGTAGGTATTACCCGCATAATTATTTGTGTTAATTACTTTTAAAACCCATTTTAGCAGAGCTTAGATAGTATGTTTTATGTACCTTACTTTTCAAAAAGGACATTAACCATTTTAGCATATTTTAGAGAGTGTGTTTTGTGTACCTTACTTTTAAAAAGGAAATTAATCATTTTAGCAGCGTTTAGAGAATGTTTTGTGTACCTTACTTTTTAAAAAGAAATTGACCATTTTAGCAGAGTTTAGAGAGTATGTTTTGTATACCTTAAAGAGTGAAATTAACCATTTTAGCAGAGTTTAGAGAGTATGTTTTGTGTTACTTGTAGATTACCAAGACACCGAGGATGACTTTAGATATGAACCGTACGTTATTTGTCAGCCGGCTTTAAGTGCGTCTTAGCCTTTTGGCAGTTAGCAAAAATCCCCAGTCGTTCTAGAAACTTTATATAATACACATTTATTTTTAAGCGAGGCGGGTCTCAGTATTTATAGTGTTTAATATTTACCGACACATAAATCAGGTCACCCCCTCAGTGCACACCACTGGCTGCACCTCCAAAGCTACACCCCTGATCCTAGCAACCCCTACGGTGGCGGGAATTAGCAAACAAGGAACTGAAGGTTGGACCCCCCCTCCCCCACCAGCAGCAATGACATGGGCGGGTGTGGGGCTACAGGTCGGAGTTTGTTTGAACAGCAACACAAAGGGGGAGATCACTCCACGTGATTTCAAATTGAGCAAGGAAACATACGTCAAATAAAAATAAATTCAAGAGATTTGTCCCAAATGCAGATTGTTTTTGTTACTCTGATGTTGAAAATAAATAAAATCCTAGAATATAATTCGACATTGTGATATAAACAAAATCCCCGATCCTTGAGTACCATTCTTACACGCCAATCCTACAATACTAGTCGTACATCATAAGCACGACCTACAGGGGTTGATTGGCTATCAGGGTGGGGGCACTTGAAAATTTCCGGGGGGCGGACTGAATTTTCCGCAGGGCGGGAACAGGTAAAGTATATATTTTCTATATAAATTCCATTTCCTTCGGGGGTAGGGGGCTGAGGAGATGCTAGGAAGAAACTCTGTTGGCTATGTCCATGTGCAGAAGCGTAGCGAGGGGGGGGCGGGACGGACATATGTCCCATGGCGCCGACCTTAAGGGGCGCTAAATGGGTTGGAAAAATAAGTTGAAAGGTTAAGGAGGGGTGCAAATCGAAAGTTTGAGAAGGGGGGGGGGGGTGGGGGTGCAAATCGAAAGTTTGTCTCCGGGCGCCGGGAAGGGTCGCTACACCCCTGTCCATGTGGTTCGATACACTTTTAAAGGGGCCCCAATCCCAGATTGAAATTTTGATTGTGCAAGAACGAATGAAATGAAATTATAAATTAAAATATCAGGACCCGTAATTATGGTTTTAGTATTACTACATAACCAACTTTACACTACCATATCCACTCAACCACACGATGATGTTTACGCTAACAACCACACTCCACATGAGATTGTCCATCCGTGACGTCAGTGAGTGTGGGGATGGGGGGGGGAGATAACTGTGATTTTGTGACCATGGAGGTGACAGGGGTATTAAGAATAGTGACAGCACATTCTATTTCTGTTTTAGATATTAGTTTTTCTAAGTATGATGGGCGTGATTGTGGTTATTATGATTACAAACACCGAAACATCTCTGACGCTAGATCGACCTCGCTATACATTGGATAATGTTGAACGCTTCTGTTGCACATTGATCAGTGGCGTAGGCAAAGGGAGGGGGGTAACGACGCCATTGGAAGGCCCTAAAATTGACAGCCGTCTCACCAGTTATAATTAGAATCTACAACTATTTGCGACTGGACGCTTGTTTCGTGTTCAAAAATGATTTTAGCTCCGAAATCTTAAATGTCATAAAGCCACAATTGTACGTTCTCAATATATAGGCATATATATATATATATATATATATATATATATATATATATATATATATATATATATATATATATACATATAATAAACTACGCAACTGAAGTTGACAGATGATTCTCTGTGAATGACATCATGGGATCATCGTCACGATTAAACCGGTCACGTTTTAAAATTGAATAGAATCTTCCTTTGATAATCGCTGAGAGCCGCCTGTATAGTCAATGTGGTCAGGTGGTTAGTTCACACGCTGTAGTCCACTGAAGGCGGCGTCCATTGAAGTCAAGCCCGTCTGTAGACACGTCTTTGTTAGCTTGATCAGCGATTGGTAGTGTCGAGGTTGTTGTTTCACACGTTAGGGTGGTGTATTTAAACAGTGAATAGAATAGCTTTCTTTTTATTTCTATTTAAAACATCTTAAGTAATGTAGGCCTATTTAGCACTGTAAGTGATGTTAACCTAAAACTTCTGCGTAATGCAATGTATTTTTGATTGACTATTTGCCACACCACAAAATTAAATTAATCATTAATTAATTATATGGTATATTTTTGAGATTATTTTTACAATTACGTCTTATCTTAATCTTCATCACTTTTTCTACCTGCAAAATATAAGAGAAAAAAACCAAAAGCACACTCAAACGAGTCTTTTTTAAAAATAAACTATACACATTAGCTTATCTTTCAAACATTTTCGGGCTGTCTGCTAGCAGTCTATCTGTGATCGGGGTCTATCTGCGTTTTAGCGTCTTCCAAGTAATCGTCCATTCGACCAATCGTCCATTCAGTCACTCACTTAATATTTAGACCATCGTCCATTTGGTCAATCACTGATTCGGTCAATCGTCCATTCGACCAATCACTTATTCAAGTGATCGACTGTTAGGACAATCGACCATTCGGATAATCCTCTTTAATGGCAAACGTTGCACCTGAAAAATGCTTTCTGCCACTTTTTGAGCAATCGTCCATCACACTGACTCATGCTGTTCAAAGCAATTCTACCATTTAAAGTATGCTGTTGTCTGAGTATCATTTTCATGTGAGAACACCAGCGTTGTTTCAGAAGAACGGCTGTTGTAATTTTTTCGCGCCGTATATACACACATTAAAAAAAAAACTTTTTTTTATGGGTTTTGTTTTCCAAGGACCGCGTTGCAAATAATTTTCTAATGTATGCGTTTGCTTCAACTTATTATTTTAATGACTAGATCTACATTTAATTATATACTGTGTAGTAATTTTTTTGAAGCATGCTATTGAGGAACAAACTGGTCCCAAAAATCCAGCTAGCGGTATGAACCTAGTATCGTGGAACGGTTTCAGAATGGCCATATACTTTCTATGAAGTAATCATTGCATAAAACTCGACTTAGGAACGTTTCAACCCACATAATATTCGACAGGAGGCGCTTTTAACCAATTATGGGTCGAAACTTCAAAGCATCGGGCCTTTAGAAATTAAAAAAAACCGCACTCTCCAATAGCAGATACATAGATGAACATTTAAACTAAGTGTCTAGAGAGAAAATGTTCAAATTACGGCGTGCGTAACAACGTACAGTAACATTATATTTTAACATTATTTATTTGTTAAACTTTACACTCCCTTCCCCCGGCATGTCCGAGCTTCCCCTACCCCACCCACTAGTCCGTTCCACCCCTAGCACCAGTTCATCAGGCTCTAGACCTAACTTTAACTCACTCACCAATACATCCCTAGACCTAACTTTAACTCACTCACCAATACATCCCTAGACCTAACTTTAACTCACCCACAAATACATCCCTAACTCATCCACCAATACATCCCTAGACGTAACTTTAACTCACTCACCAATACATCCCTAGACCTAACTTTAACTCACCCACAAATACATCCCTAGACCTAACTTTAACTCACCCACAAATACATCCCTAACTCATCCACCAATACATCCCTAGACCTAATTTTAACTCATCCACCAATGCAACCCTAGACCTAACTTTAAAAGTTGCCACAAAGCCTTAGATCTAACTTTAACCCAATCTTCCAACTTTCCCCAATCGCCCAAAACAACCCTAACTGTAACCTAACCGCTGACAAAATCTAACTGTAACCCAATCTAGCCTAACTACAAAGATAATATTGACTCAACCGGTATCTCAATGATACGCAATTTACACCTAACACTTTGAACGAGAGTATTTCGTTCGGGTCTTCAACTTTTATGAGTTTGTTCAGCTTATCAACGAATCGCCGATCTCCAATGCAATTCTGCTAGATTAAAGAAAACTGATATTACAACAAATTGTCGAAAATCAAGATAAAGGAAATTCTTGCGGAATTTACTACGCACTTATTAAGGTATAAAAGTGGTCGGATAAACAGAGCCACTTATTATTTTATATAGGACAAAAAATGGGTGCCGTTATGAGCGTTAGAAGTCCGACATGTTTAAACGGTAACAATTTTCAAGTGTCGCTATCTGCCCGGAGATTAGGGGTCCCACTCGACATAGTTACAAAGTGTGTGTTTCAGGTGTGTTGGGATACTTCAGGCTCGGCGACACACCAGTTTATATCTGAGGGCTGCAATAAAAATACGCCGCGATCACGTATGCACATACACGCAAACACACACACATACACGGGAGATTGCAAAGGTCTCCGCCTGTCGTAGAATCCCGTGTCAACCCGAACCAACTCGACGGTACTGAAAATAATTTTTTTCTCCCCCTACCTTCTGCGCATGCCCGGGGGCTCACGTTATCTGTGACGTCACCAACGGCAAAACGAGGCCCGCGGAAAAACCGCCCCAAAGTTTTATGGTATCTTGGCGATTCGTGCAATCTTTACAGCCCAGAAGTCCTATCTTATCTGGAAGCAGCAAAATTTTGTTGACAAAACTTGACTGATAATCAGGGTAGGTCACCACTGCAAACTTACACGCCTCTAGCGGGCGTTTAATGCCCTCAGAGAAGAAAAAAAAGATGGCGACGATGAAAGTTTTCATTTCAGAAATTATTTCCAGGTGTCGACGCCAAGGAGGACTACTTTAGGCTGCGTAACGCTAACCGTTTTGGACACAGTGTAACACGTCCAACTGACGCCACTGCGCATGGGTCGCGAGTTATGCAAATGAGGGCCATATTCCTGGATCTTCTCAGGTAGCTGAGGCAAGTCTAAACTTCCAAAGAGTTCCATTTCTTTCACATAAGAAACTAAAAACCGGAGAAGATATTCCCCGTTGGTTATCTAAACACGGCTAAGATGTGATTCCTACACGATATATTGTAAGTGATGTGTAGTTAAGATTAAAAATAGATACTTACGTTAAACTTGTTTAAGTATACATTGACGTGTCAAAAGGGTTAAAGTCCAACTCTTTGTGAACATTTTCTCGACGCTTCAGGATTCGTATTTCGGCTGTGTGCTCTTTCCGCGGAAGACATCCTTTCTGGAAGCGAAGGTACCCAAGAACTGCTTCCAAGGTCTGCGTTCCTTGGAGTCTAAATGCTCTCTGTATCTTTCTTGCTATCAGCGCCCTGGAATTCTTCGCTATCTATAGCTCGTTTTTATCGAGAACTGCGGAAAAGGCTGTAGGGCAATGAAAACTGATTTATCGCGGTCATAACACCCTATCTGTTAGGCCCGCTAACCCTCTGTTATCTGATGGGCTGACCGTATGGTAACGAGAAGCGATAAAAACAACAAAATTTAGGGGGGAGGGGGTTGGGGGGGACGCGCAATCTTAGGTAAAGCAAGATCCTTATCGAGGCACCAATACATTGTTTTATCAGGGGGTTCTAGGATCAGATACAGGTCGTTGTTTCACTCAATCAGTTTGTGTGTGTGTGTCCCCTCACTCCCCCCTATCAATCTTTTACTCAATCATTGTTATCTTGTTGTCTTATTCAAACACAATTTCAGCTGAGTATTAATTTCACTAAAATATCAGAGAGTTAGTTATTGCGAAAAAAAAAGGTGTAAACGTATATAATTGCTATCAAATGATTAATTTGGAAATTGAAAATTATGATTAAAAAAAACAAAATCTTAAAATTTAATTTAAGGAACTTTAGGTAAAATTCGCAACTACACATTTGTTTTTGTATACACTAGAGAACAAAAGGATATTCAAAAGGATTCTTAACAACCAAATAAAACAAGAATATGAGATAAAACTATCTTTTCTCTAATTTGTTTTTGGACTAGAACACTTTTATACAAGTTTCTGTTAGTAAATTTACAAATAACAAAAGAAACAGATCAAGTACAATATTATTATCACAACTTTTTAATATCTCCTTTCAATAAGTTCAGTTGCATTTGGAGTTCTGTTAAGTTGCTTTGTAGATAAATAAGATGCATTTTTTTTGTAGTTACAATGTTCTTGTATTATACTTTTTAAAAGCTGATTATTTGAAGATTTTAAAATTAAAGATAAAACAACGGAGGTTTTATGAATAGAAGCTGTCGGAAAATGTGTAGTTTTTCTATGAGTTAAGCGGAAAACAAAAAAGTTAGTTTTTTTTCCGGACTAGCCAATATTTTTAGAAATTTTAAAAGTTGAAACAATTTCTTTTCCCAAAGTTAAAGAAAAAAACTTCAAAATATAACTTTTTAAACTAGATGTAGCCAACTTTTGAATTTGATATGTAAAGTTTAATATAATGTAACCATTATTAATTTATAATATTAAGCAATAATCATATTGTACTGATTGGTAATTAAAAAAGCGATATCGTTTTAACAATAGTAACAAATAATCAAATTTACCTTCCTTTTTACAATTAATTAGTAATAGTTTAACTTAGGGCAAATAGCCGAAATACGGAATTTAAAAAAAAAAGTAATGTTAATTATGTTATTATGCGTTTTTATAAAAATAGTAATTTTTTTATTTTTTTGTTAACAATAATACTAAAACGGTCATTTTTACAGTTTGAAATTTTTTAAATTATAGTCAGCGCCAAATAATTTTTGGGCTTTAAAAACCCCATAGTAATTTTAATAAACTACAAAGCATGATTAAATTTGTAACCCAGTGGGCACTGGAATTTGCATGTTATGACATACTCCACTTACTTTTAACAGTAGGTAGCAACACATGGCTACATATTTATTGAGTTAGACACCTTCAGCAGTTTAAAATACGAGCGTTGTTTTAATTTGTTTTAACATTTTTGTGATTAGCAGAAAAGCATAAAACTAATTTTTTTTTATAAAATGTTTTACTTTTAAGTTAATCTTAATGATAGAAAGCTGAGATTCCTTTCTTACATGTGTATCTTCTTAGTAAAATACTGTATGTATTCAAATAGATTTAGGCATTTTTAAGTCAGAAAAAAATAAATATTAACCTGTACATTGAAAAAAGACAAGTGTAAAATTGAATTTCATAACTATTTGTATTGATATTTTAATAAAAATTCTTACCAAGAAAAAAAAAAAAAAAAAAAAAAGCATTTCTTCCGGTTAGTTTTAATTGCTAATAAGATTTTATTTCTTTTACCATTACACCTGGTTTTGAATTATCTTGTAAACCATCAACAACAGTCTTGTTGGGCCGTTTCATTTCTATAGTAATTTATTGTTCTCTAAGTAATACACATTTTGTCGTTTGACCGTTTAATTTCTATCTTTAATTTATTCTAAAAGTAATGAAAATAGTTTCGATCGGACGTTTCGTATCTACATTCAATTTGTTATTAAACGATAACAATATTCTTTTTCGACCGTTTAATTTCTTTATTTAATTTTTTCTATAAGTCATGAAAATAGTCCTGTTGGGCCGTTTCTTTTCTATATTCAATTTGTTATTAAATGATAACAATATTATTTGTTTTCGGTCGTTAATTTCTATATTTATTTATTTCTTAAGTAATGAAAATAGTCTTGTTCGACCGTTTCTTTTCTATATTTTTAAATGATAACATTTTTTTTTCGGCTGTTTGATTTCTATCTTTAATTTATTCTATGAGTAATGAAAATAGTCTTGTTCGGCCGTTTCGTTTCTATATTCATTTTGTTATTTAATTTAATTTCTATTTTTTATTTATTCTATAAGTAAAGAAAATATTCTGGTTCGGTTGTCTCAGTGAGACTTGTATTAATTACTCAACAATTATTTCACGGTAACATATTAAATTTCATCAGAGATTTGCTGTGTCTCCTAATAAAGATTATACACCGTTTACCCCTTTTAAGCCCCCCCCCCCCACCAGCCGCGACAATAACATTTTATGACTTTCAAATTTTAATCAACCTTTACGCTGCGCAATAATGTGCGCAATTTTAATTAAAGGCTCATTGAGATTCCATGTTGATTAGTGTTAATTGCATTGTTTCATGTACAAAGTAAAAACACAAGTTACTGAACTAAAGGTGTGTGTTATGAGACGATCATGTTGGAATAAACACCCTACTTTTATTGAACTTAGGCCCTAGTGTATTGTGTTGCTGTTGTGTTTACTCTCTCTAGATTCTGCTACTGCCGAGTGGGAACATAGCAACATAAAATCTCATTTTCCCATCGTACGAGCAGATAAACGTATATATATATATATATATATATATATATATATATATATATATATATATATATATATATATATATATATATATATATATATATATATATGTAAGTGTGTATGTGTGTGTCTATACAAAAACATACATACATAATATCACTTCTTCAGAACAAGGCTCAGCATTTCCTTTTATTTTGGACATATAATCTATCCAACATTTTGTTCTAAATTCACAAAAGCATCATGGTTAAAGAAAATGAGTGGGTGTATATCTCGCCAACAGTGCACATTTTCATTTCACCAAGTGCTAAGTTTAGAAAAATATGTTAAGAAAACAACATTTAAACTTTTTTTGTGTGACTATTTATACGAATAGTGTAGCTGGAATAGTCTCATGGGTGTGCCTGTTCTAGAAACTTAGATTGAACTAGGGTACTAGTTAATAAAATAAATAATAAAAGTAAATAAAAATAGTAAAAATATAACAGTTTTTTTTATTACTTTTCGCCTTTCTGACGGGGCTTGTAAGTCCTAATAATTAACTAGTAAATGTAATTATTTTCTTAACCTGTGCAACAAACAATAAAAACATAAAAACTATTTTGTAATTTGATTTATAAAATATTTTAATTAATCAACTAATATAACACTTAGTTTTTATTAAATTATTTTTGTTAAGTTATGTAGCTCATCAATATGCCCTACTTTTGTCATTTGATGGACATGAAATTTTAGCATCAGGTTAGTTCATTATCTTGCAGTTTATTTTTTTCTATTTAATAACTTATAATTTTTTTCCCTAAATGTAAATTCAATTGTTTGAAAATTACTATTTAAAAAATGTGTAAGACTATTCGCACATTCAGAAAATATTTTGTCAATATTAGTAGTTTGTTGTTGGTTTATACCAAAATAAATTATGGTTTAGAGTGCAATTTTTAAAGAAAAATAATATTTTATTTAAAAATTAGTTAACTTATAAAAACATTATTAAAAAATCAATGGACACAGCTAACATACATAAAACACAACAAACGCTAATAAAATTAAACACATATCAACAAGCGCTTAAACTCATAAACACACAACAAACGCCAACACAGACATAAACAAACAACAAACACACGCATATAAACACACAACAAACACACACATCAAGAAACAACCACCGAGAACACAAACATAAACAAAATCAACAATACCCCCAAAATTTGGCGAATTCAAAAGTTTCGACGGATTAAACGCTTCGAAATAATATATTTTTCTTTTTGAGTTTATCTTGATGCAGAAATTATGTCTCACATTTCTTTTCTAAAACAACCATTTTTTTGAAAAAAAAAAACAAATAAACACAATTTAATAATAATTTTTTTTACTAATATTAGTTGTATGTATTTAAAAATATGAAATAATTAGCTTTTTTAGTTTTTCCATAATAATAATTTTATGGAGCCATGCTTAAACTTATAGACTTATTAATAACTTAAATTAAAAATATATTTAACCGTGTATTCAATAAAATATAATTAAATTGTGCCTTCTATTCACATTTTGCTCACTTATTTATTATTTTTTCGTTTTACTTAACGACACGAGATTTTCAGGCGTTTTCTGACCCTGACCGTAGTGTATCTACATATAGGCCCCAAATGGCCCCTATACATGTAGGACCTATATAGTTTTATAATCTACAATTACTTTTATTACGGGACTGTTACATTCGGAAAACATTGTTTTCATTTTCAGTCGTCCATACTATTCAAACTATTGATTACTAACATATTGAAATTCATTACTAAAAAGAAACTTACAATATCTACATTTCTTTATTTAAATTGTTATAGCCGGTTGATTTGATTTTAACGTTAGTGCTAACACTATTCTACTCAATTTGTTGTATTCTAGAGGAGTTGATATTTAATGTTGCAATAATTGTGTTTTGTTTTGAAAATACATGGCGGTATCATGAAAAACTGATACTAATTTATCATAATAACTTTGATAATAACTTCAAAATTAATACGATTCATAACTTTGATTAGTATTTGTATTTAAAAATAACCTTTACATTTCTAACTGCGCTAAAATATATTACATTCTTTATTCAAAAATAGGTGACACATATTTAAAAATTTGTAGGTCTAGTAGAAATTTTTTGGAGACCTGTATGTTCATTTTATCTAATTTAGACATTTGTATTGTATCAGATTTAGTAAAATTGTTCTTTTTGCTTTACACATCGTACTCTTATACTAAATTTTTTTTAAAGGATGTATTTATGGAGTGCCATAACAGGATGATTTACTGATCTTTCTATTTCCGGCTTAGCAATTTCTAGGTATGGAATAAAAAAAAAAAGTAATTTTTTTTTCTGTTGAGAAGTATAGTATGCTAAAATAATCTTTTTAAAGGAGGAAAAACCCCAAACATTACGTAATAGCCCTAAAAATAAAAGAAAACCCCCAGCATTATCTAACGAAAAAAAAAAGTATAATTTGCATTCACGTTTTTAATTTTAAAAAGTTCTGTTGTAAAAGTAGCCTGCTGGTTTAATAGTTGTGTAATGTTATATGTAGCAAGCCCTATTTCAGCGCTTTTCTTTTTAAAATGAGCTAATTTGTGTTAATTTTGATAGTTTTGTTATATTATTACTGCAGAATACATTTTTAAAAGTACTAATAGGTCTACATCCTGTTACATTTATGTTATTATATACATTTTCGTTTATTTGTTTAAATACTTGTGTTTTTTTTTAAATCTTTAATATACCTCGAAATAAGTGATGTTTTTGTTGAAAGTTTCGTTAAAAATTGATGCTAACACACACTGGGAGAAAGTTCGTGGGATAGGCCACGGTGACGGTAGATCATCATTTAGATTTTTTAAAAAATTGGATTTACAAAAAGGTAACGCATTTTCTGATAAGCAGTAAAAAGAAAAGATTCCTCTTTAGACCAAGGGATCCATTATGCAGATGAAGCAGTGTTCATATATTTCTTGACGTCGGCATATGAAGAGATAATGTCGTCAGCACTATGCCAAGCCGCATTTACGTTCCCTAACGGGAGATAGGTACCCATCAGAGCTGGATGGACCCAGGGACGGTCGGCTAACTTGATTCAGGATTCGAACTTCGAATTTTAGGTTAGCAGTATAGCGCTCTACTGCTAGAACACACCGTTCCATGACATATCAATTTAGCAATTTAGACATGAATTATGATTACAATGCCAAATATAGACACAGTTACAAAATACAGTCAATATCTACTTTACTGTTAAGAAGAACGATTGTTAACCCTCTACTAACTGAAAGTAGTAAGGAAAAATTAAACTGCTAAGTATGATTGAGAAAAATAGTCATCACAATTAAATCTGAGTTATAATGATTTTTCAGAATTAGTAAGGACATGAAATGATTCAATCTTCTAAATCCGCTAGTTTTTAATCTGTCACATATTAACCCAAGCCCGTGGCAAATTAGCATTTACCTTCCTTGAAACATAAGTTTAAATAATCCATGGCCCCCCAAAAAAAAAAAAAAACAAACACAAAAACTAACAAGCGCACCACAAACACACGAACAAAGAAAACGTGTCACAAACACACCGACGAACAAACGTGGTACAATCAATCACAAGGTCCGAAACACTTGTTGATGTTCAAAGTCCACTTTTAATATCTGGGTCTGTTTTGCTTTGTGCATTGTTTTTGTTTTATTTCATAGTGTGTCGCGAGAGTTAGACGAGCGGTACACACGTTCTAACACTCTATGGCTTTATAAGATTTAAATGACTATATTTACTCTTGTTCATTGAATATTACCTGAACCAATGCAAGTTAGTTTTTCAATACCTCAGTATTCTATCCACACACTAAACAACTCCTATAAACTAAGTCTTTCCCCTCACACTAGACATCATAAACTAAGTCTCTCCCCTCACACTAGATCTCTCTCCATAAACTGCCTCTCTCCTCACACTAGACCTCTCCTAAAAACTAAGCCTCTCCCCACAATAGACCTCATAAACTAAGCCTCTCCCGTCACAATTGACCTCTCCTCTCACATTTAACCCCTCCACACACAAACTCGCCCTCTCATCTATTTTAAACACATATTTTTGTCATCCCTTTTGGCCGCTTATATTGATAAATGAAACCTCATCTAGATACCATCAGTACAAGATGACCATGAACAGAGCAGGGCAAAGAGGCGACCACCACAATCTCAGCTAAATTAGGCTTTAATTTAAAGTGATACAACGAATAAACTTAAAAATACGCTTAAAATGATTTAGACAAGTTTTTATGATTTAAACTAAAGATGAGTTTTTAATGGTATGACAGCATAAGTACAGAAGAAAACAACATTTGCCGTTTCCCTTATAACATTTTGTGTTTAGATTTGGAACAGTGAAATATACAAAAAACTTTAACTACATGGAAAAATTATTTAGTTATAGGAAACTACAGGCTTCTGTTTTTCACTGTATTTGAAATATTTATTTAAAAAAAAATATTGTGTGAAAAACTTAAAATAATTGTTTTTTTATTTTAGTAATTATAAGTATAAGCTTTTATTTAGTTTACAATGTAGCCTATGTTTGTTTGTTGATGGGATGTGGCTAATCTTTTAATCAGTGTTTCTTCCAGACTTTTTTCTCCGGGGGGCGGTATACTCCCCCCGCCCCCCCCCCCCCCCCCCCCCCCCGCCCCAGAGAAGAGATGCCTGGAAGAAACTCTGCTTTTAACTATTTTTTAACCCACTTCTTATGCAGCGTTTTCCATCAAACTTTCCAGATTCTTTTTCCGATGACAATGCAAGAGTATCTTTTAAAATCTAATTAGTCATTAAATATTTATTTTAAAATCACAATACTCAACAATACAAGATAGATAGCAGATATCAGCTATCCATCGATGCGGAGCTATTTTTCACGGCTGAGTGATTTTTCGCCAGAGCGTCGGATCACAGACTAAGAAGGGGCAGATAATTATCTTTCAGAGATTGCAAGCTTCTGATCGCATTTCAACGCCAATTTTTACAATAATTACAAACGATGATTTTAAAAGCATAGTTAGCATTTAAATATAATGTTTATATTTACTTTAAAAATATTGCATGGTAAAAATAATTTCATTGTTCTATTTAACTCTATCCACTTGCTGGGTACTTATTTGCACTGAACTGTCTTACTAATAATAAACAATGTAAATCAGTGTTAAAAATTAAAAAAAAATCTTTTCACATGGTAATGATTTGACTTTTATTTCCAGATAATTATCAAAAAGCAAGAAAAAAATATTAAAACAAAATTCCCAAAGGCAGTTTACCCCGTCCGGTAACCTTGAAAAAAAAACCACAAACCGGAAGTGAGAAGGGAACACCGTTAGATGACATCACCCATGTCGCAGACGGAGCAGTGGAAGTCTTACCCACACGCGAACTCTCCCCACAGAGCCGGGGGTGAACGGATCTCCCGCACCCCCACAGCACCCCCGCACCTATCCGCGGCGTCGCCTTCCTCGGCGTCTGTCACACCCCGGGGCTCCCCAAACGCCCCGCCGAACATCACTTCCGCCTCGCCATCGCCAACGCCCCCTTCCGGTCAAAAGTACTTCCGGGCGGCCACACCCTCCAACGGGCCGGTTTTAGTCAAAGTTGAGCGAAACGAATCTAAAAGTCCCATAGTTTCAAGGGAGTCTCAAAATTACGCCACCTTGGCCCCCAACAAAAGTGTAGCAGATAAGCCGTTGCGCCGGAAATTACCGGCTAGCTACTTCGACCACACCGGTAGCCTCGTGTCGGATGACCTGAAACCGGCTATAAAAGTCTCACCGCCGTACACCCCTGACCGGTTCCAAGCAGACGAGTTGGGGCCCCCTCCCCCGCAGGCCGTAGCCGTCTGCCCGACCGGACAAGATTACGTCATCAACGCTTCCAACGCTTCAAGCGGAAGCACGGTCCGGATAGCCTACGCCAACAACAGGTACCAACAGGCCCTGGAGCTAAGCCCCTCCCAGCAGGAAGGTAAAGACACGCCCCCGTCGTATTCGGAACTTCAAAGCCACTCAAGATCAACCCCAGGGACAGGCTCCTCGACGCAGACGCGCTTAAGAATCGCGCCCATCTCGAGTCACCTGACGCCACTAGGGACCTCAACCCAGCTGACGAACCTATCACATTCCACATCATCACAGCTGACTCCGCTGAGTCAGTCTGGCTCCATCTCGGCGCATCTGACGCCGTTAGGTCAGTCCTCGCACTTGACCTTGACCGCAGGGGGTCAGTCCTCGCACTTGACCTCTGGGGGTCAGTACGAGACGCCGCTGCTGCCCCGGGAAGACGTGGACGACTTCTTCGACAACCTGGACAGATCCAGACAACACGTGACCTCCCTGGATGTCACCAGGCAGACCCTCTCCGCCATGTCCAACGGCCAGTACCCCGCGCACCACGATCCTGACAGCGCGAGCTACATCCACCTCACGAACTCACCCTTAAACCCCGCTCAACACAGCTACTACAGCCCGAACCCTTCCAGAACCCGAATCCTCAACCTCCAACCCTCATCGTACTCGGATAACCCCTCGCACTCAACCCAATCCCCGAACTACCTCCGACAGATGCCGCCTCTCTTCGGACCCTCGCGCCAAGCAACCCACACCCCAACCGGAAGTGGATATTCCAACAACCCTGGTCAACCCTCCGTCGTCCAGGTGTCAGGTCACCTATGGCCCGGGGGTGACGCAGTCTACACCAATTTAACCGGCCCGTCACCTGATTCCGAGAACTACGAGTACACTGTCCAAGACACCGGAAGTGGACTTTCACTAATCCCCACCTCCAGGTCGGAGTCGGTACTGTCTCGACAGCTAGCCAGGCCCCCTGCTGCTATCTTGGACAGCTACGGCCGCGGGCTGCCCAGCGGGGTCGGGGGGTCATACCCCAGCCTAGAGAATCATCCCTGGAACTATGTTATGCAGGATGGTCGAGCCATTAAAGGTGAGTGTGGTAGTTTATGTCAGCCTGTATCAAACAATGAATGGTTAGGTTAGGTTAGGTTAGGTTTGCCTGTCGTCCCTCCTGGGACATAGGCCGCTGACAAGAGCTTTCCAGGCGTCTCTGTCTAACAATGAAATGATTGTTCTATAATATATTATTTCTATGAAGTTATGAATTTTTAGAATATTTCAAAGTTCTATTCTTTTATCTTCTTCATTCGTTATAAACAAAGATAAAGTTTTTTTTTCCTCCAATGATCTTTTCAATGATCCGAACCCCCCACCCCTCTTCATTTTTTTCCACGTTCATGCCCAAGACCCAGGGCCAGATGAAGTAGAGCTCATCTGTTTCAATTTCCTGGGCATACAGGGAAATAGTGTGGTCAGAGCTGGGTGGACATTCTACAGATTCTATCCCGGGATTCGAACTCGAGACTTTCGGACTAGCAGTCATTAAGCTCAACCATTCACTGCCCCTAACACCCCCCCCCCCTCACTTGAAAATCAAATTCATTTGAAAAAGTACATTTTTATTTTTATTTTTAATATTTACAAATTTAAAAAAAAGGTACATTACATTTTAAAGCCCGAGCCACACCCCTACCCCAACCTCCAGTAGACACAATATCTTACTGTAAATATTAGTAAAGTATCCCAAGAACACATTACGCCCCCAAAAAATATCCCAAGAAAACATCTCTCAATAGCGAAATATTTCAATGACAAAATTCATCAAGACAAAAAATGGCTACGGGATAAGGTACTTCAATGACAAATATCTGAAAGTATCTTTAAACAAAACATCTCAATTATGTAATATCCAATTGACAAAATATCTAATTGACAAAATATCTAATTGACAAAATATCACAGCGACAAAATATCTCAATTACACATTTCTGATTGACAAACTATTTCATAGGCAAAAAAATCAAATGACAAAATATCTCAATTACAAATATCTTAATGATATATATATATATATATATATATATATATATATATATATATATATATATATATATATATATATATATATATATATATAGGCCTTATTTTTTAAAATCTTTTTTTCCTGTATTTTAAAGTGTGGGGGTGTAGTACCTTGCCCATCCCCTTGACCAAATTTGCCGTCTCCAATGCAAACCTTACCTGGTGATGGAAGTTATTGCTTTATAACATAACATAACGTGTCCGATTGATTCTATATCTCAGTAACACGAATCGATTTTGCTGGGAATGTTATGGGGAGGGGAAGAGACAAGGGGTGGTGGGTTGTTCTAGTCCTGGTACATTTGCGATCATGAAAACATAATTTGGACAAACGCGACCAAACATCAATAGCGCTGGCACATATCTGAGGTAAACTGTTCAATTCGCCTTGCCGGAACCGCCCCGGCCACGTTTACGCCGAGATAAAAAAAAACATTTGGTGCCTTAAAAAATATTTTAAAATAAAAAAATGTACGCTGTTTAATTTAAAAAAAAAGAAAGTATGTACTGGTGGGGTGGATAAATTAAACATTTCTAACCGGTTATAACATTGGTAGAGGTTAGGGCCTAATGCTAGTACCGCGAGCGGGGGTGGGGGTGGTTCCCTAATTCCAGCGTTGCTAAGTAACTTCGTATTTCCAGCTCTTACACATCGGTCGGGCTCTGCGCAAACAGGACATCGTTGAGCAAGGGCTAAGGTGGGTCGGAGGGAGGAGGGAGGGGGGGGGGGGTAGGACCAGACCTGTGACAGAAAAATCGAAGTTTTGTGTTGAGTTGGGAAATTTGTCTTTATCCACCGCAGCTGGGGTTTAGGTTAAAATATGTTGCCGGCTGGATCAAGGCAGGTATGGGGGGGGGGGGGGGGATTGTCAAACTAAAAATAAACTGTAAGTTATTTAAAAACTTAACAACGTTTAGTAGTGTATGGGATGGTAGCGGTTGATACATTGAACAGGAATTGCCGGGGAGCATTCACAAAGTAAACCATTCAAAGAATAATTTTTTGTGGCCCTACATCTACCAAAGTCGGGGTTGATATACTCTCTTTTATTTCTAGTCATCTATTGACTGTCCTATAGACTGGATTATGTAGACTTGTCATATCTTCACTGGACACATAATTGATAGGCCAAATCTTGACTGACTACTTATATCCTGGTTACTTTTTGACTGGTCACCTTTTTTACTGACCACCTTATACTGACCACCTTATACTGACAACCTTATACTGACCACGTTTATACTGACCACGTTTATACTGACCAACTTTATATTGACCACCTCTAGCAAGCCCACCTCTAGTAAGCCCACCTCTAGCAAGCCCATCTCTAGCAAGCCCACCTCTAGCAAGCCCATCTCTAGCAAGCCCACCTCTAGTAAGCCCACCTCTAACAAGCCCCCCTATAGCAAGTCCCCCTATAACAAGCCCACCTCTAGCGAGCTCACCTCTAGTAAGCCCACCTCTGGCAAGCCCACCTCTATTCTGCTACTTCCTGGCCAGACCGAGTGGGTGATTTACGATGTTAACTTTTCTACCCCCCCCCCCTCCCTCCCTCCCTACCTCGTGCACTCAAGAGGAAATAAACGCCACCTGCCCTATGTGAGCGAACTTTTTTTTTGTTCTCTAGAAGTGGCCGATGTTGGCTAGTCTAGGGATGGCCAGTTTATTTCATTAGAAGTGGCCAATGTTGGCTAGCCTAGGGATGGCCAGTTTATTTCATTAGAAGTGGCCGATGTTGGCTAGTCTAGGGATGGCCAGTTTATTTCATTAGAAGTGGCCAATGTTGGCTAGTCTAAATATGGCCAGTTTATTTCATTAGAAGTGGCCGATGTTGGCTAGTCTAGGGATGGCCAGTTTATTTCATTAGAAGTGGCCAATGTTGGCTAGTCTAAATATGGTCAGTTTATTTCATTAGAAGTGGCCAATGTTGGCTAGTCTAGGGATGGCCAGTTTATTTCCTTAGAAGTGGCCGATGTTGGCTAGCCTAGGGATGGCCAGTTTATTTCCTTAGAAGTGGCCGATGATGGCTAGTCTAGAGTTGGCCAGTTTATTTCATTAGAAGTGGCCGATGTTGGCTAGTCTAGGGATGGCTAGTTTATTTCCTTAGAAGTGGCCGATGTTGGCTAGTCTAGAGTTGGCCAGTTTATTTCATTAGAAGTGGCCGATGTTGGCTAGTCTAAATATGGCCAGTTTATTTCATTAGAAGTGGCCAATGTTGGCTAGTCTAGAGTTGGCCAGTTTATTTCCGTAGAAGTGGCCAATGTTGGCTAGTCTAGAGATGGCCAGTTTATTTCCTTAGAAGTGGCCGATGTTGGCTAGTCTAAAGATGGCCAGTTTATTTTCTTAGAAGTGGCCCATGTTGGCTAGTCTAGAGATGGCCAGTTTATTTCCTTAGAAGTGGCCGATGTTGGCTAGTCTAGGGATGGCCAGTTTATTTCCTTAGAAGTGGCCGATGTTGGCTAGTCTAGAGTTGGCCAGTTTATTTCATTAGAAGTGGCCGATGTTGGCTAGTCTAGAGTTGGCCAGTTTATTTCATTAGAAGTGGCCGATGTTGGCTAGCCTAGGGATGGCCAGTTTATTTCCTTAGAAGTGGCCGATGTTGGCTAGTCTAGAGTTGGCCAGTTTATTTCATTAGAAGTGGCCGATGTTGGATAGTCTAGGGATGGCTAGTTTATTTCTTTAGAAGTGGCCGATGTTGGCTAGTCTAGAGTTGGCCAGTTTATTTCCTTAGAAGTGGCCAATGTTGGCTAGTCTAGAGTTGGCCAGTTTATTTCCTTAGAAGTGGCCAGTTTGTGCGTCCTAGAAATGGCCAAATGTTTGGATTCCTAGAAGTGGCCAAAACTGTTGTGTTCTAGAGATGGCCAGCTAATTTTGTACTCTGGACGACAACATGCCGTTTTGTTCTTTAAAAAATGTCTACCTTATGTTCTACTGTCTCAACTTTTCTATTTCTTGTGTTCTTAAATTAGCGCACACATTTTGTTCAGTAATTCACCTCAAACATTTTGTTTCCTTGAAATTGTCATTTCCAATGCATTTACAAATCTATAATAAAAACAAACATAAGCTTAATGCAGTCTTTTAACTAATTCTTTAAACAAGTTCTTTGGACAATTTCAATTACAATCTTTAGAATTTAAATTTTGAAGCGTGCTCCCCAAGGAAAGCTCACTAATGTTTAGGAGGAGCGAGACTTATCTTAGACATATCATAACTCTAAATACAAATATACAATATACACCTATATATATATATATAACAATTACCAGAAATAATATGATTTCTATTTGCTGATATAGTTTTTAATTTATTTGTGAAGTGTCGGAGGTACTATCCCTGCTTATCAGAGTTTATTTTTAGTTTTTTAACGTATGAATGAATTTTATTCCAATAATTATGGCAGTAATTATTTATCACATATGGGTTAAGTATATATCATCTTTTTCCCGTTCATGGGGCAGATGCAGTAGAGTTCATTTGTTTCAGAGACCTCGGTTTATGAAGGGATAATGTGGTCAGCACTATGCACAGCCGCTTTTATTCCCGCTAACTTAAGTTAGGTACCGGATTCCAACTCATGACAAAGTATACATAAAGTATATACTTTAAAGGGTATATGGGGGTGGTGGAGTCTCCATTTTGTTTTAGTGTTAGCAAAATAGCCGACAAAATGTTTGGAAAGTGTTAAAAAAGTTTAGAAACTGTTGAAAAAAGTTTAGAAACTGTTGAAAAAAGTTTAGAAACTGTTGAAAAAAGTTCAGAAACAGTTGACATTTTTTAAAGAAAGTATTGACTTAAATAGAGTGACCGGAAACTTCCAAATTCTATTTTAAACCGCGTGCAAGTTCAAGCCACTAGAAATGCGGATTAAAATCTCCAGACGTCCAAGAAGATTCGACTTTGGAACTCTGGCAGTGCAGAAATACAACGTCTGGGTCACACTACGGTGATCACGTGACGTGCAGGTCCTGTACACACAGGCGCCCTCTACATGTGTCACTTGAGTG